CCCTGTTGTAGAGCCACGATGGAGTAAGATGGGGAAAGGTGTCGGTCAGCGGAGATAGGTGCAGTGTCGTTAACAGCGCTGGAACAATAAAGTTGTTCTGCCTAACGAAGCCGTAGCTTCTATGATGTGCGTGTAACAAAAGATCCAGAAATCGATCGATTCCATGACTCCTCCTCCACGCTATGTATGAGCTCAGCGATTGGATGACGTTTGTGTTTTGGCAGGTGCAGCCTCCCCCTCTTCTACCAGCACTCTCAGAAGAATATTCCGGCGACGTTCATCTTCAGTGGAGCCTTGGTGAAGTTCGGACAAGGATTTGGGAAAAACAAATATATTTTACTCAGAAGCCCGACCCCCCCTAAAAAGGTGATTATTTTACAGCCGCCGATCGGTGTCATCCTGGGGTATCCTGGAGGCTCTCTGGACTCGGCAATGTGTCTGCCATAGTGGGGGAAAACTGGACTCCGGGGCCTGCTCATGGAGGTCCTGTTGTGGGGTCTGCTTGTGGAGGTCCTTTCTGGGTCTGCTCGTGGAGGTCCTTTCTGGGTCTGCTCGTGGAGGTCCTTTCTGGGGCTTGCTCGTGGAGGTCCTTTCTGGGGCTTGCTCGTGGAGGTCCTTTCTGGGGCTTGCTCGTGGAGGTCCTTTCTGGGGCTTGCTCGTGGAGGTCCTTTCTGGGGCTTGCTCGTGGAGGTCCTTTCTGGGGCTTGCTCGTGGAGGTCCTTTCTGGGGCTTGCTCGTGGAGGTCCTTTCTGGGGCTTGCTCGTGGAGGTCCTTTCTGGGGCTTGCTCGTGGAGGTCCTCCTGTGGGGAGGTGTCAAGGGAAGGGGATTCCATAGTGGCTGTTGGCTTCAATTCAGGGCCAGGTTGCTCCTCTTCTGCTCACTGCACCAGGTGAAGATCAGTTGCCATCTGCTTTCCAACACACCTTTGAGACCTCACCTCTAATGGACTTCACCTGAAAGGGCATACTCAAGAGGTCATTTCTAGGCCTGCTCGTGGAGGTCCTCTTGTGTGGCCTGCTCGTGGAGGTCCTCTTGTGTGGCCTGCTCGTGGAGGTCCTCTTGTGTGGCCTGCTCGTGGAGGTCCTCTTGTGTGGCCTGCTCGTGGAGGTCCTCTTGTGTGGCCTGCTCGTGGAGGTCCTCTTGTGTGGCCTGCTCGTGGAGGTCCTCTTGTGTGGCCTGCTCGTGGAGGTCCTCTAGTGTGGCCTGCTCGTGGAGGTCCTCTTGTGTGGCCTGCTCGTGGAGGTCCTCTTGTGTGGCCTGCTCGTGGAGGTCCTCTTGTGTGGTGGCCTGCTCGTGGAGGTCCTCTTGTGTGGCCTGCTCGTGGAGGTCCTCTTGTTGTGTGGCCTGCTCGTGGAGGTCCTCTTGTGTGGCCTGCTCGTGGAGGTCCTCTTGTGTGGCCTGCTCGTGGAGGTCCTCTTGTGTGGCCTGCTCGTGGAGGTCCTCTTGTGTGGCCTGCTCGTGGAGGTCCTCTTGTGTGGCCTGCTCGTGGAGGTCCTCTTGTGTGGCCTGCTCGTGGAGGTCCTCTTGTGTGGCCTGCTCGTGGAGGTCCTCTTGTGTGGCCTGCTCGTGGAGGTCCTCTTGTGTGGCCTGCTCGTGGAGGTCCTCTTGTGTGGCCTGCTCGTGGAGGTCCTCTTGTGTGGCCTGCTCGTGGAGGTCCTCTTGTGTGGCCTGCTCGTGGAGGTCCTCTTGTGTGGCCTGCTCGTGGAGGTCCTCTTGTGTGGCCTGCTCGTGGAGGTCCTCTTGTGTGGCCTGCTTCGTGGAGGTCCTCTTGTGTGGCCTGCTCGTGGAGGTCCTCTTGTGGGGCCTGCTCGTGGAGGTCCTCTTGTGGGGCCTGCTCGTGGAGGTCCTCTTGTGGGGCCTGCTCGTGGAGGTCCTGTTGTGTGGCCTGCTCGTGGAGGTCCTGTTGTGTGGCCTGCTCGTGGAGGTCCTGTTGTGTGGCCTGCTCGTGGAGGTCCTGTTGTGTGGCCTGCTCGTGGAGGTCCTGTTGTGTGGCCTGCTCGTGGAGGTCCTGTTGTGTGGCCTGCTCGTGGAGGTCCTGTTGTGTGGCCTGCTCGTGGAGGTCCTGTTGTGTGGCCTGCTCGTGGAGGTCCTGTTGTGTGGCCTGCTCGTGGAGGTCCTGTTGTGTGGCCTGCTCGTGGAGGTCCTGTTGTGTGGCCTGCTCGTGGAGGTCCTGTTGTGTGGCCTGCTCGTGGAGGTCCTGTTGTGTGGCCTGCTCGTGGAGGTCCTGTTGTGTGGCCTGCTCGTGGAGGTCCTGTTGTGTGGCCTGCTCGTGGAGGTCCTGTTGTGTGGCCTGCTCGTGGAGGTCCTGTTGTGTGGCCTGCTCGTGGAGGTCCTGTTGTGTGGCCTGCTCGTGGAGGTCCTGTTGTGTGGCCTGCTCGTGGAGGTCCTGTTGTGTGGCCTGCTCGTGGAGGTCCTGTTGTGTGGCCTGCTCGTGGAGGTCCTGTTGTGTGGCCTGCTCGTGGAGGTCCTCTGGTGGGCCTGCTCGTGGAGGTCCTCTGGTGGGGCCTGCTCGTGGAGGTCCTCTGGTGGGGCCTGCTCGTGGAGGTCCTCTGGTGGGGCCTGCTCGTGGAGGTCCTCTGGTGGGGCCTGCTCGTGGAGGTCCTCTGGTGGGGCCTGCTCGTGGAGGTCCTCTGGTGGGGCCTGCTCGTGGAGGTCCTCTGGTGGGGCCTGCTCGTGGAGGTCCTCTGGTGGGGCCTGCTCGTGGAGGTCCTCTGGTGGGGCCTGCTCGTGGAGGTCCTCTGGTGGGGCCTGCTCGTGAGGTCCTCTGGTGGGGCCTGCTCGTGGAGGTCCTCTGGTGGGGCCTGCTCGTGGAGGTCCTCTGGTGGGGCCTGCTCGTGGAGGTCCTCTGGTGGGGGCCTGCTCGTGGAGGTCCTCTGGTGGGGCCTGCTCGTGGAGGTCCTCTGGTGGGGCCTGCTCGTGGAGGTCCTGTGGTGGTGGCCTGCTCGTGGAGGTCCTGTGGGTGGGGCCTGCTCGTGGAGGTCCTCTGGTGGGGCCTGCTCGTGGAGGTCCTGTGGTGGGGCCTGCTCGTGGAGGGTCCTCTGGTGGGGCCTGCTCGTGGAGGTCCTTGGTGGGGCCTGCTCGTGGAGGTCCTGGTGGGGCCTGCTCGTGGAGGTCCTCTGGTGGGGGCCTGCTCGTGGAGGTCCTCTGGTGGGGCCTGCTCGTGGAGGTCCTCTGGTGGGGCCTGCTCGTGGAGGTCCTCTGGTGGGGCCTGCTCGTGGAGGTCCTCTGGTGGGGCTGCTCGTGGAGGTCATCTCTGGTGGGGGCCCTGCTCGTGTTTTCTTTTTTCTGTTTTCTTTTTTCTGCCCCTTTTTTTTTTAATCCATTTTTTCTTGAAGCCTGAAGTGGGAATGGATCTGGGGTACAAACAACGCTGGTGACGTTTGGTGAAGTGGTGGGAAGCTCGCCCGTTGTCCTAACCCGGAGGACAATTGTTTGGACCGCAAGTTCAGGTTCGGGGTCATTGTAGTGTTACAATCTAAAAAAAGAGGCCAGGAAAACAGAAAAAGTCCGAATCTGGTCCTGACGTGACGCAGGAACCCCCCCTTTGTAGGAGGGGGAGGGGGCGCGGGAGAGGAGAAGAGCTGCAAGTCTGAAGTCACATGGGGTGTGTGGAGAGAGGATAGGGTGGGGCGTGGGCGACCTCCTCCGACACCCAATCAACAGCTCGCCTTTTTTGTGTCTGCGGTTTTTGTTTTATTGTTATATGTTATTTTTTTTTCCTGTAATCTCACGGCGGAAATCTCTCACATGTGAAGGTGATGATGACCAAACGCACGAAGGGACATGGCAATGTTCAGCTCCGTCACCGTCTCCACCATCGGATTTTGAGGAGGAGGAGGAGATCGAAGCGTTGTAAGTAGAACCACCGGGGTTGACTATTCTGTTCCACTGACAAACCAACAGAGGGGCACTGGTTTTCCTCGACTGACACCAATGATGGGACACTATTCCTCCCACTGAGTACCAATGATGGGGCACTATTCCTCCCACTGATACACAATGAAATGGAGGCACTATTCCTCCCACTGACACCAATGATGGGGCACTATTCCGTTCCCACTGACACCAATGATGGGGGCACTATTTCCTTCCACTGACAAAAATGATGGGGCACTATTCCTCCCACTGACACCAATGATGGGGCACTATTCCTCCCACTGACCTCCAATGATGCCGGGCACTATTGCTCCACTGACCCACCAATGATGGGGCACTATTCCTCCCATGATTACCAATGATGGGGCTCTATTCTCCCCACTGACACCAATGATGAGGCGGCACTATTCCTCCCCACTGATCACCAATTGATGGGGGCACTATTCCTCCACTGACACCAATGATGGGGCACTTTTCCGTCCCACTGACACCAATGATGGGGCACTATTCCTCCCACTGACACAATGATGGGGCACTATTCCCCCCACTGATACCAATGATGGGGGCACTTGGCTTCACCCCACTGATACCAATGATGAGGCACTATTCCCCCCACTGATTCCAATGATTGGAGGCACTATTTCCTCACCACTGACACCAATGATGGGGGACTATTCCTCCCACTGACACCAATGATGGGACACTATTCCTCCCACTGTACACCAATGATGGGGGCACTATTCCGCCCACTGATACCAATGATGGGGCACTATTCCTCCACTGACACCAATGATGGCGGCACTATTCCTCCCACTGACACCAATGATGGGACACTATTCCTCCCACTGACACCAATGTTGGGGCACTATTCCTCCCACTGACACCAATGATTTGGCACTATTCCTCCCACTTGAACACACACCAAATGATGGGCACTATTCCTCCCCACTGATACCAATGATGGGGCACTATTCTCTCCCACTGACACCAATGATGGGGCACTATTCCTCCCACTGACACCAATGATGGGGCACTCTATTCCTCCCACTGTGCACTACCCAATGATGGGGCACTATTATTCCTCCCACTGACACCAATGATGGGACACGAATTTCCTGCCACTGACACCAATTGATGGGGCACTATTCCTGACACCCGAATACTGACACCCCACTGATACCAATGATGGGGCACTATTTGCCTCCACGCACTGACACCAATGATGCAATGATGGGCACTATTCCTCACCACTGACACCAATGATGGTGCGTCTCTTATAACTTGTATCTTCTACAATACTGTGAGCTCATACGTTGCTTTGTCTGTCATTTAGAGGGAAGTTGCAGACTCTTATGCCCAGAATGCCAAAGTCATTGAGAAGCAATTGGAAAGGAAAGGAATGAGCAAGAGGAGGCTCCAGGAACTGGTACGTGAACTGTGACCAATGACGCTGTGTATTATATATAGGAGGTTCTTCCCACTGCCCCCAAAAAAAAAAAAAAGCTACAAATACTGCAGTGACTCACAAGGTCAGCACCCCCCCCTGCTCCTCCCTCCCTAGCGGTGACATCATCCAAGGTCCAGCCCCCCCCTTGCACCTCCCTCCCAGCGGTGACTCACAAAGGTCAGTCCCCCCCTGCTCCTCCTCCCAGCGGTGTGACTCACAAGGTCAGTCGCCCCCCCTGCTCCTCCCTCCCAGCTAGGTGACTCACAAGGTCAGCCCCCCCTGCTCCTCCCTCACCAGCGGTGGACTCACAAGGTCAGCCCCCCCTGCTCCTCCCTCCCACTGGCGGTGACTCACAAGGTCAGCCCCCCTGCTCCTCCCTCCCAGCGGTGACTCACAAGGTCAGCCCCCCCTGCTCTTCCCTCCCAGCGGTGAAACTCACAAGGTCAGCCCCCCCGCTGCTCTTCCCTCCCAGCGGGGACTCACAAGGTCAGCCCCCCCTGTCGCCTCCCTACCAGCGGTGAGCTCACAAGGTCAGCACCCCCCCTGACTCCTCCTCCCAGCGGTGACTCACAAGGTCAGCCCCCCTCTGCTCCTCCCTCCCAGCGGGACTCACAAGGTCAGCCCCCCCTGCTCCCATCCCTCCCAGCGGTGACTCACAAGGTCAGCCCCCCCCTGCTCCGCCCTCCCTGCGGTGACTCACAAGGTCAGCCCCCCCATGCTGCGTCTAGACTCCCTCCTGCGGTAGCCTGTACACCAAAGGTCAGCCCCCCCCCTGCTCCTCCTCCTCGCCAGCGGTGACACTCACAAGGTAATCAGCCCCCCCTGCTCCTCCCCTCCCAGCGGTTGACTTATCACAAGGTCAGCCCCCTGCTCCTCCCTCCCAGCGGTGACTCACAAGGTCACGCCCCCCTGATCCTCCCTCCCAGCGTTGTGACTCACAAGGTCAGCCCCCCCATGCTGCTCTCCCTCCCAGCGGTGACTCACAAGGTCAGCCCCCCCTGTGCTCCTCCCTCCCAGCGGATGACTCACAAGGTCAGCCCCCCCTGCTTCACTCCCTCCCCATGCGGTGACTCACAAGGGTCAGCCCCCCCCTGCTCCTCCCTCCCAGCGGTGACTCACAAGGTCAGCCCATCTCCTGCCCTTCCCAGCGGTGACTCACAAGGTCAGTTTGCCCCCCACCCCTGATATTCTCCTCCCTCCCAGCAGGTTGACTCACAAGGTCAGGCCCCCCCTGCTCCTCCCTCCACAGGGTGACTCACAAGGTCAGCCCCCCCTAAAAAAATTCCTCCCTCCCAAAAAAGCTACTCACACAGGCAGTCAGCCCCCCCTGCTCCTCCCTCCCCCAGCGGTGACTCACAAGTCAGCCCCCCCTGCTATTCTGCTCTCTCCCTCCCAGCGGTGACTCACAAGGTCAGCCCCCCCTGCTCCTTCCCTCCCAGCGGTGACTTAGTATCACAAGGTCACCCCCCCCCTGCTCCTCCCTCCCAGCGGTGACTCACAAGGTCAGCCCCCCCTGCTCCTCCCTCCCAGCGGTGACTCACAAGGTCACCCCCCCTGCTCCTCCCTCCCAGCGGTGACTCACAAGGTCAGCCCCCCCTGCTCCTCCCTCCCAGCGGTGACTCACAAGGTCAGCCCCCCCTGCTCCTCCCTCCCAGCGGTGACTCACAAGGTCAGCCCCCCCTGCTCCTCCCTCCCAGCGGTGACTCACAAGGTCAAGCCCCCCCTGCTCCTCCCTCCCAGCGGTGACTCACAAGGTCAGCCCCCCTGCTCCTCCCTCCCAGCGGTGACTCACAAGGTCAGCCCCCCTGCTCCTCCCTCCCAGCGGTGACTCACAAGGTCAGAACCCCCGCCTGCTCCTCCTTCCCACGGTGACTCACAAGGTCAGAACCCCCCGCCTGCTCTTCCCTCCCAGCGGTGACTCACAATGTCAGCCCCCCCTGCTCCTCCCTCCCAGCGGTGACTCACAAGGTCAGCCCCCCCTACTCCTACCCTCCCAGCGGTGACTCACAAGGTCAGCACCCCCCCTGCTCCTCCCTCCCAGCGTGCGACTCACAAGGTCAGCACCCCCCCTGCTCCTCCCTCCCAGCGTGACTCACAAGGTCAGCACCCCCCCTGCTCATTCCAGCCTCCCTCCCAAGCGGTGACTCACAAGGTCAGCCCCCCCTGCTCCTCCCTCCCAGCGGTGACTCACAAGGTCAGCCCCCCCCTGCTCCTCCCTCCCAGCGGCGACTCACAAGGTCAGGCCCATCCCTCCCCCCCCCTGTCCTGCTCCTCCCAGCGGTGACTCACAAGGGTCCCCTGGACCCCTGCTCCTCCCTCCCAGCGGTGACTCACAAGGTCAGCCCCCCCCCCTGCTCCTTCCCTCCCAGCGGCGACTCACAAGGTAAGGTCAGCCCCCCCTGCTACCTCCCTCCCAGCGGCGACTCACAAGGTCAGCCACCAGCCCAGCCCCCCCCCCTGCGGTCTGCTACCCCCCCTCCCTCCCAGCGGGTGACTCACAAGGTCAGCTCAGCCCCCCCCTCTCCTCCTCAGCCCACCCTCCCAGCGCGACTCACAAGGTCAACAGGCCCAGCCCCCCCAGCCTCCCCCCCCGCTCCCCTCCCTCTCCCAGCGGCGACTCACAAGGTCAGCCCAACCCCCCCCCCTGCTCCTCCCTCCCAGCGGCGACTCACAAGGTCAGCCCCCCCCAGACCCCCACTCACCCCCACCCTCCTCCCCCTCCCCAGCGGCGACTCACAAGGTCAGCCCAGACCCCCACCCCCCACTCGCTCCTCCCTCCCAGCGGTGACTCACAAGGTCAGCCCCCCTGACAGGTTCACAGCCGGTCTCCTACTGTGCATGCGCGCAGCACACTGGAAAGGGTCCCAGAGGGCTACAGGGGTGGGGAGACAAACTTTGGGCTCATTTTGCCATTGCAAAGCTGGTACC